ACTTCAACTCCCAGAATTCCTTCTCTCGCTCTTCATCTTGATGATGTGTGGACGGGCAGGGGGAGGAAGCTGGAACTGGTTCTAAATGGCACTGTAGATTTGTGGAACCTCTTCTTTAGAAGAGGTTAGAACTGGCAGGAACCCACCCCTGCAACCCCCTGTTCAGGCAGGAAATCCCATATCATTTCAAACATGGTTGTCAAATCTCTTCTTAAAAACTTCCAGTGTTGGAGCATTCACAACTTCTGGATGCAAGTTGTTTCACTGATTAATTGTTCAAACTGTAAGAAAGTTTCTCTTTAGTTCTAGATTGCTTCTCTCCTTCATTAGTTTCCCTACGTTGTTTCTTGTCCTGCCTTCATGAGCTTTGGAGAAGAATATATTCATATTCTTATAGAATATAAAGTGATCGATGACAGAGAGTCACATGCTGGGCCTCTCTGCTTAGATGGCATTCAACATGGTACTGAGGAACAGCTGAAGATCATTCAGAGTACTAATGGCTAGATTAAAGTCTTTGTAATGTCTTCCTTTCCCATCCAGTCAGTCAGAAGCTTCTTGGATGAGAAGCGAAACATTTTCAACCGCCTTTTGAAAAAGCAGCTTTGAGATGCTTAGTTGCTGATGTTGCCCTACAGGGAACATTGATGATCCAACCATTGATGCAGAAGAAGAGTAGGAGTTTTATGATCAAATTTAATTTGAAATAGATAGGACCTACAAGCAAGATGTGTAAGGCAGAACATGGTGAAACAGCCTGGTTCCAGGTTGGCAAAACAGGGAAATATGGCTTTATACCATCATGGTTAACCTTTTTGCCCTTGTGTGCTAAAAACCACACCCATAATGCAATGCGTGCACAACATCTCCCTCCCGCAGTCCCCCCGCATATACATGCGACCCCCGTGCCCAGTTTTGGGCCTAACAGGCCTCCCTGAAGTCTCCTGGGACCAAAAACGGGCCACAGAGTGCTGCACCCCTATGCGACCCCCCCACATACCGCACGTCTCCCATATGCGCAGCAGAGACCTGAAAATCAGCTGGCCAATGGGAGGCGCATGCACATGCACGATGGAGCTGAGCTGGCGACAGCCCGCATGCCCACAGAGAGAGCTCCACATGCCATCTTTGGCATGCATGCCCTAGATTCGCCATCATGGCTTTACACTTTCTCCACATTTTCAACTTATACTGAGGAAGGGTGGATTGGAAGAATATGATCTTTAGGTGGTTTTAAAATTGGGTGGTTTTAAAAACTATCAAGGTAGTGGAATAACACTACCTTGACAGCTGAAAAAGGAAAGAATCCACAATAATAGTAATAAAATTCAAGAAACACACTTTTTAGACATTGTTATAAGTGTAAAAAAACACCAGGCACTTTTTCTCATATGTGGTGGACGTGCAATGAGGCAAAAAAATATGGGGAAATGATTCAATCATGGTTAGAACAAATGGTGGGAGACC